TCAGGGATTAAGAAATCGACACGTACCTATGTTTGCAACTGTAGAGCGTAGGACGTGTGGCTTTCTTACATGCCGCCGGAGAAAAGGTATGGTAAAAAGGCTACAACACGTTTGAGCATTTTATCCCAAATTGCTACACGTTTGGGCACAAAATCACAACACGTTTGGGCACTCTATTTCCCTAAAAAGATACCACGTTTGGGCACTAAAATGTAAAATGTATATACCTTTGTTCAAAAAGTATTTAAAATATGTACATAGGTATATGCATAATATATGTACACAAAATACAAATATACATATATATCAAAATAATATAAGTACAAATAAAATAAATAATAATGTAGCTACCAAGTGTTATAAAATATGTAAGTTATTTACATAATATGTAGGTAATGTACTTATCTATATATTATATAGGTAAGTATATACTGTATATCTGTATATACTTTCAGGCTTTAATCCAACTCGACGGTAGTGGCGCGAAGCTAAGTAAAAAAAAAAAATCGGAGCGGTCACTACCGTAGTACATGAGCACGATAATAATAACCGTATTCGGGACTTCCTACGATAATAAATATTATATTAGAAAGCAATAAAATTCGAAATCACAGATAATTTTCAAAGTTGTATTAATAGTGTAACAAAATGCAATAGGTACCTATCCATATTTATTTCACCGTAAGTCCATATCAGACAATTAGTCCGTAGTCGCTTGTCGAGTGTGTAGTGCCGTATAGTCGCTTAATTAAATATTCTTACAATGAACTCCATAGATGATATATTTGTAACAAAACGAGGAAGACGATGTGTTCTGATACAGGGATATAAGCTAAGTGAAAATAAACAATTGAAGGACCGAACTTTTCACTTCAGATGTACAAATCGTAAATGTAACGTAACAGCAATCATCGGTGAGAAACTTGGTTTAATAATTTCACAAAAAAATGATCATAATCATCCGGCATTCCGGCCACTTCTGAAAATATTTTAAATCGACAAAAATAATGTCTACACTTAAACGAAAGGCCATTGATGATGTGTTTACTAAACCAAATAAAATAATCAGAAAAGTACTTAAAGATCAAACTACTGTTAATATAAGTCATTCAGATGTGCGTTTATTTAGTAAATCTATGTATGAAGCTAGGTGAAAACTAATATTAACTATTCCTAAATCAATAGACGAGGCTAAGCATCAATTGTTTTCAAATCAAAACTATATCATTGCTAATAATAACGAACAATTTTGTTTTATGAAAAATAATGAAAGCATACCAATATTCACTTGTTATACAAATTTAGTTATGTTGTGTGAAGCACGTGAAATTTTTGCTGATGGTACTTTTACATATTGTCCATCATATTTTTATCAACTATATACAATCCACATATTACAAAACAATTATTATCTCCCTTTGATTTATTGTTTTTTAAATTCGAAATCAACTGATAAATATAAGGAAATGTGGACATTAATTAAAGAACTTTGTAAAAAAATAATTAACAAAGAAATACAAATTAACAAAATACATTTGGATTTTGAAAAAAGTGCACATATTGCAATCGAAGAATCATTTCCAACTGCACAAATTATTGCGTGCCAATTTCATTTGGGTCAAAGCTGGTATCGTAAAATCCAATCAAATAATTATTTACTTAATCAGTATAAAAATAATACAGAAATAGGGTTATGGTTAAAATATTTTTTTGGTCTAGCATTCTTACCACCTGAACAAGTTGATGATGGTTTTGTAGAGCTCATTTCTATAGCTCCTACAGATAACCATACGTTTACTGATTATATTTTAGAAAATTATATTAATAAAGAGTCTCAATTTCCACCAAATATTTGGGCAGAAACTCCCATAAATAATACTAGGACAACCAACGGACCCGAAGCTTTTCATAAACATTTCATTGCACAATTTCCACATCCAAACATACACCATGTAGTAGACGTTCTAACTAACATTCAGGCAAAAACTGCATTAAAAATAAATAGTATAAAAAAAAATCAATTCAATTACACTAGAAGAGAGGCTGAACTTAAAAGGAAATTTTTGATTGATAATTGGAATTCTTATGACAAAGGAGACATAACACTAATTTAATACTTAAAAATTATGGGAATTCGTTATCAAGGAAATAAAATATAAATATTATAATTACATAATATATATATATTTTTTTTTTTTCATAAAACTTGACTTTCATTATTTTGATTAATATAATATTACTATTTTTATTCAACACTAATATAAATAACTTACGTATTTTATAACACTTTGTATTATTATTTATTTTATTAATTGTACTTAATAATATATTATTTTGATTATTTTACAAAATAAATAGTAACTTACACTTTATAAAACTTGTTACCTATATTATATTATTATTTATTTTATTTTATTTGTATATATATATTATGCATGTATGTATATATTTTATATACTTTTTAAACAAAGGTTAGGTTTACATTTAAGATTTTACATTAACATTTTACATTTCAGTGCCCAAACGTGGTATCTTTTTAGGGATATTGAGTGCCCAAACGTTGTGTGGATTTTAAATACTAAACAGGTAAAAATGCCCAAACGTGCTGCACCGGGTAAAAAAGGTCCTTGTCACAGAGGAGAAATCGGATGTACAAAACAACCTTTTGAAGAAGCCGCCTATCACCCTCTGGCCGGCACAACCGGATCGTCCCTTCGGCAGTGCATGAGCACCTCTCCACAATCTCACAATCTCTCACGAGTGCAGGCGCACCGCGAAAAAAGATTGACAACCTCTCCATACCGAATTCTACGAGCGACAACTGGGCTCCTTTTTACGAGCATAATCAGTGTGTTTCTTTATTTTTTCGAGTATCTTAAATAATTAATTTGTGTCACCTAAAACTCCTACTGCCAACCCAGTGACAACTGCGAGTCAGGTAAGACATATTAAAATATAAAATACAGTATTGTTGACTGCATTATATTAAATTATATGTGCATGCATTTACATTTACATCATAAAAGTGTATTTGATCAAATTCTCGAATACACGATCTCGAGAACCCTCCGACGATCAGGAGGAAGGTAGTAACGTAAATTTAGATCATCTTAAATATTAGTGTCGGCAGGCGTCGTATTAATATTTACGGTGATCCTTATCTTATATTATTCTTTTTATTATTTTTACTTTTATTCTATTTTTGCGTTATTACACTATAAAATGTATGTTACTCATTTACTACATATATTTCTTAATTTCTTATTTGATATCACGTATTGCAAAATATCAATACTGACAAATTGGAAATAGGGTAAATTTAAAATCAGGAATCAGAATATAATATGGTAAAATATATATATTTATATGAATTAATATGCGTAGAAATTGAAACGTATATATTTTATTTCTCAGACAAAATGTAGTTCACATTGCACTCATCAGTGTACAACGTCAGTATATGACGAAATTTTATAATATATAATATCATATATATAACAGTTTATAATACATTTGAACTATAATAAATAATGAATACAAAACAATTAGTACGTCTTTAAGTAATTTAAATTACTCAAATTATTAATATCATTAGATAAAATTTGTAATTAGAAAAAATAAATTGTAATTGTAACAAAAAAAAAAAACGTAAAACTTAATCAATAATTTATTCATTATATGGAAAACAATATTGAAAAATAATTTCATAAAATATTCAATCAACAAAATTATTGCACGCTCAAATCACTCTGAAAACAGATCACAAAACTTCTAATTTTAAAATTGCTCATACATGGACGGTATATGTTTGGTTAAAATTAAAATTATACTTAGATAATAAAATACAAATACACTAATACCAATAGGTACCAAATGTTCATTTTTATCAAAAATATCTAATTAATAAATTAGTCAGAGTATAAAAAATCAGAATAATTAATAAGTATGTAGTACTGGCTACTATAATATTCATTAAATATTTTGAGTGCTCCAATATAATATGACCTTACTTTACTTATAATTGAACCTGACTTTAATACAATTATTCTAATCCCTTATAAGACTTACTAACTTGACTAAACTGATTCAAAATTTAAAATTTAAACCGTTATTTAAACAAACGGTATAAAAATACAATATTTTTTAAACTCTTATACATACTGCTTGTCTTGCCTAATATAGTTTACAAAAGTGATGGTAATTTGGTTTATAAAGTACCCAAGAAGGTATTTATTTAATTTTAAAATTTGTTCAAGTATAAAAGTAATTTTGGAAAAATATTTTATGCAATACATCTGTACCTATATAAGTGCTTACATAACTTAATCTAAAGTAATACTAAAGCAACTACAATAAAAAAAAACAAAGATCCAAAGCTTTTTCATAACAACTGGAAAACTGCTTAAATATTGTGTTAAGACATGCAAGTGCCTTCGAATGATTTCATAAAAAATTATACATTGACATAATATATGTGTATTGTGTATGTGCACATACTTTTTATTTATTTTAATACACAATTATAGTGCCATTGATAAAAAAAATTCATAAATATATTATATTATATATACATATTACCCTGTACAATGTACATTATAATATAACTATGAAAATAAAATAGCTATAAATTATATCATATTACTATATTAGGTACCTCATTATTGAAAATATTTTTTTAGAACTTAGCAAATATGACACTTAACAATTTGCTTTGGATATGGTTAAACAACTTAAAAATAAATATATATATATATTAAAAAAAATATTTTCATACAATTTGTGCACAACATTGAATATTCTAATTTACAATTACAAATTGTAAGAAAATATTACGTGAACAATACAATTTATAAAATTGTTAAAGTATGTTTTTATAAAACATAACAGTGGTAATTTTTATTTTGAACAAATTTTGGTGTCAAGGTAACATCTTTATTATTTATTTACCATAATTTGTTTTGTTTTTTTTTTGTTTTTTTTTTTTGATTGTACACAATGTTAACAAAAAAAAAAATACTTCACTACGCGAGATCTATGTATTTTTATTTAAATTATGATGAATTATTATTGATGCACTATCTGAATCTGATTGCCTACTGAATCACGACATGAACAAGATACAATTAAACCAATACTAGGATGCTTTTGAATTATTATACTCGATAAGAGAAATGATATGTGATATATTACATTATTTTTTTATTATTATTATTGTTACTATTAAACAATATTTATACATATGCTATAATTTAATACGTATTATATTATTAATTATATTATTATGTGCAATTTGCTTTTGTGTATACATTCACGAAATAAACAAATCCCGAGTACAAACAAGTATTTTTAAACGAGTTATTCGGATGGCACACTAAATATAATGAATTTAACGATTTCCTATATTAAAATATTATTAACAAACAATATCTTAAAAATATTATATTTAAATTTTTCGACAATATTCATTATACTGCGAACTGGAGTTTTTAGTCAAACAAAATATACCTTAAGTATTACATTTGCATTTTATAATAACGATTTAGAAAACAAAAATTAACACGTATAAAGTGTTATAATTCTTGTTGCTGAAAACAGATTTATTACGATATGGGCAAGCGAATATTATGGAAATTAAAACGAAGAATAAATAAGTCAACAAGAACAACCGTCAATACGGATAACAAAATGTATCGAATTATAATATAGCCAGTGCTTTGGGAGGATAAGTGAAAAAAAAAACGTTACCAACAAATAGTTCGGTATTATATTTGATATGATATTATACTAAAACTACAGTTCACGTTCGTTGGACCAAAATTGGCACAATACCATGTATTAAAATATATATTATACGCGTACAAATAATTAAAAATTTTGATTGAATAACAACTATAATATACGACCAACGAAGCGAAAAAAAAATAATAACAATAATAATAATGATGATGAAACAGGTGCGCGTAAAATATGACGTACCTACCTATCACAACTAAAATAATAATATTAATAGTGTGTGCGCGCGCGTCAGTTAGACGCTCGTTGTAATATAATCTATTTTGTCTTTATAAACAACGTTTTAAACAATATTAATAGGCTCTACAATTCAACTGTTAACAATGTTGCCTCGTCGTTATGATATTAGTGAATAGTACGTATTGTACTGTACATACAATTTAATCACGATACGTATACATGTACAACATTATAATATAATTATATAGAGATTGCTATGATGCAAGTATGGCCACCGAAAGCCTAAACTAACCCTCGAGTATCCTGTATGATAACGATTTTATGAACGTTGTATACAAATTTTACCACGAAATTCCGCGCCAGAATATTTTTTCCTTCCAATTTTAGTCTAAATTATAATATTATTTCGTCAAGTCGATGCAAGTCGCTTTCTCCTAGCTTTACACTGCCGTACTCTGGGTCTGTATGCGAACTTTTTTCACACTCCCGTTCCTCGACAGAGTGGGCGACGTGCCGCTGAAACCGGGATTCTGGATACCCAGACCGCCAGCGCCTCCTCCGGTCCCGTTTCCATTGGCTGACCGTGGCTTCTTCAGACTGGACCTCAACGGGCTGCGGATCACTGGTGTTATCGACGAACCATTTGAGCTGAGTGTGGTAGTCATCGACATTGTACTGCCGTTAGTCGTGCCACTCAAGTACGGCTTTCCGCTAGCGTCCGTCACCGATATTTTACTACTGCTGCCGACTCCAACTCCGCCTCCTCCTCCTGAAAATATTAAGTCATCCAGATATAACACCTTTTACATCATTTTGGTATATGTATTAACAACTGGGTCTTGAACAAACCGATAATTTTAAAACGTAATATAGGTACTTCAATAAATGTTCGTATTTTTTTTTTAACGATTAATACAGTGTACTTAAAAAAAACTGTTTGACACAATAATATATTTTTAATGTCATAGCCTGGACAATTGTCTGAGAACTCCAACGTAAGTACATATTATGTGAAACATTGATGCAATATTTTATTTATAGCTTAATAAACATTAAAAGCTAGTTAACTGACAAGCAAAAATGGATCCAGAATCTATGTACAACGGGACGCTTAAATTAAAAACATTTTTGCGATTTTTAATTATGAATGAAAAATTATATTATATTTTTTAGTGAACAGGGGGGGGGGCACTTGCCCCCAGTACTCCTCCTTGGAGCTGCCCTTGGTGACAAATTGGCGATAAACTGGTGCAATTATCAGAATATTAACTTAAAATTAGGTGGGTACTCATGTTCTCGTTAATACAATTTGGAAATTATAAGAGTTACTTTTAAAAAATATTATAAAAAGAGAGATTTTTGTTTTTAGTTTTGTGGTAAAAGAGATCTTAGGTAAGTAAAAAATATATAATTTTTAACAACAATTGACCGAGATTATGAGTGTTCACTATTAAAAGAATTATCCCCGTATGTAGGTCTCAGGACTGACCAATAGAACTAGATTAAAGGATAACTACGAATTAACCATTTTCAGTCATGTATACTGAAAAAGTATTGAAATCATCTCGACAATCGTCACGAATGTTGATCTCTTTAATTTTTATAATAGGTATTTTTAGTCGAAAAACCAAATTTAAAAGATTAGTGTAAGTAGTATGAACAAAAACCGTTATTATAGTACCGTTATTTTAAATTGAGTGCATTCAACAAAACACTCTACATGCAGCATGCAGGACATACAGCATTACAAACAGTAAATAAAATATGTAACAAGTTATTCGAAATATTATTTAGTATCCATAATTATTTTTCATTCTAATACTTGCCAAATTTTAAAAAGTGTGGAGTATGAAACATAATATCTAACAATTGAGTTGTGTATTATAATAGCCAATAGTTAATTCCTAAATAACTATGTATCATTTTTACATTATCCTAAAGATATTCTACAACAGATGTATAGTCGTTACAAAAATATACTACAATAGTAAACACGTTTTATAGAATATATTTCAATAGTTGCAGAAACAAAAAGAAATAAAAAAAAAAAAAAACGGTAACATTTTTGTCTTGTTTTCACTTTGTGAATAGATCGAAATAAAAATACGAGTATTATAAGAGTAGTTACGTAATTTCACGGTTATAACTAGATTTTAATATTTGTGGTTGAAATATTTAGAAATAAAAATATCATTAGTCAAAAACTCAAAACATGTCTTATGATGTTTTTACACATGTTATTACTATTATATTGTTATTTTATATATTATTAACTCACTTGGATTCATTGACCTCTTCTCCTTAAAGGCAGGATTATTGAATGTGGTAGCTTCGACCCCAGATGGATCACGGTGACTGATGGTGGGGTCACCGCCCAAGCGACGGGAAAATATTAAATCATATATTGCAGCCACGAATAGCAAAAAGTTCAATATTATCAAGCCAATCTGTTGAGTAAGAATAATTTTCATTAGGTATTTATAATGATAGACAATAGTATAACACATTATACTACTGTATCTATAAAATCAAATTTTCAACAGAGTAGTATTGATAGTCAATCCGTTTTCATTAAAAAAAATTAATTTACAGTATTCAAGAGTATAATATTTAATTATGTAATAAGCACAAGTGAATGAATATGACCAAATAGAAACCGTGTCCTATATTTTAAAAGACAAGAATAGAACCGATGATGTCCGTGGAAAACTTTTTTAGAAGAACAATGCACAATAAAATTATAAATTATTTTATGCACTATTATTTGTAGTTTACATTATAGTAACATTTTAATTAGCTCTAACACTGCAGTGAAAATTGGGACTCTAGAATGTAAAGAAAATAATGGTTTGGCATCATTGTAAGTAAGTACTTTTATGTTGTCTACTCACCAAAATAGATTTATTTTTAAATTGTCAATTAAAATGAAAATTTTAAATATTTAATTTATAAGTTGATTTTATACTTTGAACTAGAGGATGAAAAAATTAAGCTTACTACATTACTCGTTTTGTTTCATTACAACTTATAAGCACTATTTTGAAGAAAAAAATTTTATAAATTTAATATCAAATGTTTGTTACTCAAAATCATTATTGAATATGAGTGCGTAGTTGCTTTAAGGATATAAACCAGGGAAGTCGTTCTACTATACAGAATTTTATCTAGAATACTTCGTCATTGAATTGGTCACAGTAATTAAATAAGAAATAATGTTAACACAATATTATGTGTTAAATTTCAATTCAATGATGCATATAAATATGATTCTTAGAGGATATGGTGTGTTATCTCCTATTTCTAAGGATTCAATAGTTTTATAGTTTTTTAAATACAATTAAAATACAATGAAATCCAATATAATTATTAGTACCTATTTGAGTATTATTAGTGTAATTATTCGTTTCGTTTTGTTACAGACTTTGATTAACAGTATTGAGCAATTGGATGATTTGAAAGTAGAAAGATACATATTTTTTTACAAAAGTAAAAATAAAAATATGTTCAATCTTTACGGATATTATAGGTTTATTTAGGAAAGGTATCTTCCCAAATTGAGATTTATCTCCATAATTTATTCAACTCACAATTATAATAAAATAATTTCACTATTAAATTATTGTTTGTTCAACTATTATTAAAATAGATATATTTACTATTCAACTTTTTTCAAATACAATTCATTTAGAAGTGTAATTTGTATAAAAAAAAGTTTAAAAAGTTCATACAACAATTACGTGTAAATCTAGATGTCTTAACAAATGAAAACCACATTAATAACATCGGTTAGAATTACGATTAGTAAAAAAACTTATTTCACAGATGTAATTTCTTATATCGTGAGACATTATAGTCAGTAATATAACCTTGACTTTGAAAGCAATTTATTTTTAATGTTTTAAACTAATTTGGGATTTTTAATTATTTATATGTAAACGAGTACCTACGTAGAAGTAGGTTACCTATACAGTATACAGCTATTTATAATATTACAGTATGTATAATTACATATTATTATAGTATGATCATGTTATGAATCAAGAAGTACATTATTAAAATATATAATAGGTGTCTAACAAAATATAAAATTTTGCGTTGCGGGGTTTTTCTTTTGAATCTTGGTTCTCACGAATTAATGAAGATCACAGGCTAAATTTTTATACTTTGAGCTGAAAACGGTTTATCTTATTCACCTGCATATAAAACGATTCCCCTCTGGTCACTTGGTAGCTGTTGTCTTTGTCGTCGGTTTGAAGAGCGAATAACCCGGCTGCGATGATTGCTAGCAGAGCTATATACAAAGAGTAAAGTCATCGAGTTAGGCACTTAATCCGTGTACAAGCATAATATGTTTGCCATCATTTTATGGTAAAAATTATTTTTAAAACATAACATGGGCACGTATGGTTAATATATTTACTTGCTGCGAATGCAAACACCAATTTGGTAACCACGGTTTTACTATAGGCGACCACGACTTTTTCCTTCGATACCACCATGGCCAATTGTACTATGCTTAGGATACAAAACACGGCCAGGCTCAATGTATCAGCTATGGCAAAATATCCGGCTATCTTCACCGTTTCTACAGGAAAACACCAAACGATTATATAAACAATTATAATTAATCGACAATATTTACATATAGAGATCCCACGCGCCACAGCGGAAACCGTCGAAACACAATGCGATCGTGATTAGTGATTACTTACCCACTGGATGAAACCTGGATATCGAGTCTCCACATTTCGTTCGTCCGTAGTACGATTGTTTGCACATTTGCCATGGTCCAAAATAACCACGATCGATTCCTGAAGTCCCGATTTCGGCTGCAACACATCACGAACAATGGAATTATAATACACACGATGATTATATTCATAGAGCAGAATTTTTCGTTAAGCATTCCAATTGCAGGTGAAACTTAACCTTACAAATATACACTATATAATTTAAATCAAAATCAGAAAATAAATTGTTCCATCGTTACATGAATCATGAATAGTAATGGTTTATATAAAATATTTTAATGTTAAAAGTTTATATACGATTTGTACGATTTATGTTGGTACGTATTGTACAACAACTAAAATGGTAAGATCCAATAATTGTCCATTGTGAACATTACGTATGAACATAATGTGCATAGTTTCACAGATACTACACAATGTCAGATAAACCTACATAAACGCAATATAATAAGTATATTTGTCATAATTATTTATTTTGAAATACATTTTAAAGGTTTTTCATGGTAATTTATTGGACACAAATGTCCATGAATGTTATACGAATTACAGAAAATAGTATAGTTGAGATAATTGTTGTGAACGATTTAATACAAATCTACCTAGGTATTGCAATGGATCTAATTATTATAGGTATGTTTGATTCGAACATTTTAAAAATTCACTATAAAATAGAAATAAATCGTTTAGTATTGAAATATTCTACTCAAATTTGAGTAATTTATAAAACCGACACATATATTAAAAATATAATGACTTGTCTCCCTAGTTAGTAGGTATAGTGTAGAAATGTATAAATCAATCACCCGAGGATATGTATGCTAATGTAAATCGTAACAAGGAAATATTAGGATATACATTTACCACAAGAAAACCTTCAAATTGGTAATACATAATAATATAACAGTACCTATTGGTTATACAATAGATAAATACGTTATATTGTTAATACATTGTCACATTAAACAGTTATGAGGCAATAAATGTCACAGCATTATTATCTCGCATTCTTGTTAAGTATTTAATTTAGTATTTTGTTTAGTTTTTAATAATTTTTACTTAAATACAATGTTAAATAAATTTAAATAATTTAATAAGTGAACTAATCCTAATGGTATAATACTGAATAGGTTTTTTTTTTGAATTTTTTTTTTATTTATGTGAAAAAAATGTATTATAGTATGTTAAAATGAAATAACAATTATTAATTGTGATTAAAAAAAATATTCCAAATCGTATATACTTCCTATATACCTACTTATGAATTATGAAAATAATTTGTCCCAATCGTCAAGTTCCGTTAAAATATTTTCAACCAAAGTCAACAAACTTCAATTAAATTTTTTAAATAATTTAATTTTACTCATTTGTAAACATAAATGAGTTTTTCAATGAATACTGAATTAATATAGTGTTCTTTCATAACTTATAAAGTAAAAATAACAAATTAATTTTGTTTTCATAAAATATTAATCAAACCAGATGTTGCGTGAAGCAATAAAGGAAAAATTAAAATTAACGAAATTCAACATTATATAATTAAATGTAAGAAAAAGATATTCGAATATTTGTTGTGTTATTTTCGAATAGGTACCTATTCCTTACGATTTACGTCTGTTACAAAACTGCAGGATTTTTGTATAATATTACCCTAGTTTATAATATAATTCTAGCACAGATGTAATGTACCTAATTACAAAAAAATTACTGAACAATTTAAAATTATACAATTTTATTTTTGATTAAATTTTAGATTTCTATGAAACTAAGGACAAATGTTTCCGGTAGTCTGTTTTACAGTGATTTATATTTCTGTGACTTCTGTTTAGGATAGAAGGGGTGTATCGAAAGTTTCAAGTACCCGTATCAATAGTTTTTTAGGAAGTCTAAGGGATCAATATTCGATTTAATCAGTTTAGTTTAGGAATAACAAACGACAACTATCGAAAATCTTGAAGTATATTTGTGGTGTTACCCGATGTCACTCGATGTCCAAATGTACATCCAATTGGATACTGCATTTGAAATCAAACGCGAGGACTTATCATAGAACAAATTTCATTAAATAGTTTCCCTCTAATAACAATATTGACCATCAATACAAGAATAATAGATTTAAATTCCATTGGAAGTTACACGTAGATGGCGAATATGATCTTAAAAAAAGTTCAGAGATTGCAGTCAATATTCAATAACCTTTTTTTATTTATACAACACGTATTGTGTGTTATATAGCTTTTGACTTTGGAGGAATTTTTAAATTAAATTATTTCAAATACTAATAAAAAAAAGAAAAAGAAAAAAAGCATTGTTTATTGTGCTGTTAGCAGTAGAGTATGAAAATGTTCAAATACGCTTGGCAAACAACTTGGAAAGTGATATTCAGAATTTAGAATACGCGTGTTTAGTTTTCAGCAAAAGTTTCTTTTACTTAAGAATAAGTTTTTTTTGTATTTTCTATTAGTTATTAGTAGCATTCAATAGGAAATATTCGATTAAAACATGCTGTTTCATTGAAGCTGCTAACTTTTATAAGTGAAGTCTTGTAATGTTAACATATTATACACCTTGTATTACTACATTAGTAAATTTATAGATTTAATTAACATCTACGGCTCCATCCTACTTATAATAAAGTGTACTCTGAGCCAAGTGATGAACGCATTGATTTTACAATGTGTGATTTTTAATTTTATTTTAAGACACGTTAAATAGTAGAAAAATGATTCTATTCTTAACTTTGAGTTTGGTTTTGGCTGTAAATTGGAAATAATTTGTATTTTGGTGTAACAAAAAAAAAAGATGAACATTTGTAAACATTTTAATATTATTATTAAAATAATTCGTCTCCGCTCAGAATTGATTTCATCGTATAGGTTCTATGATTTATCATTGTATCAGTGTACCTATCACTATGCGTTCTACTGACCTACTCAATGATGTGACACACTCGACACCTATTATAAAGCAAAGCAGATTACTTGGTTACCTTTGTAAGGTTAGGTTTATTTTTTGTTAAAAATTCAATGATAGCATTGTACTTTTACATTTTAATATTTGAAATATATTTTCTTAACCCTCTGAATACCACTGTGATGCATATGCCCCAAAAAGCGTTTTGCACATCCCAGTGACCACTCGTCCCTTTCAATAATCAAATGGTCAGGTCGCAATGGTTTTTATTGGCTTTTCGACGGATATTTGACTTGTTTACTCATAGGTATTCAGTATTTGTACGACCAAAATGTGTTATTTTTTGATTTAATTTTGTATTTCTTTTTAATCATTTTTTCATTTCACTACTATTACTTCTATTTTGATAGTTAATTAATTATTCATATTATTTTTGTTCTTGTTGTTTTCAATGTTCATATTTAAATTGATTAAAATACGTTCATAATGAATTGAGTTCAATATAGCATTTCCGTCCTACATTACAATATTGGTGTTGAAATGTACGAGTGCATGTGATATTAGGTGAGTACAAAAGCGATCTACAAATATTTATATATTTTTTCAATACTATAGGTACTGTTATGTAACAAATAATCAACACAATAATGTTAGTAGTTAAAGTAATTATCTTACTCTAACCTAACCTATAATCTAATAATGATATTGGAATATTATTTATTGTTGATATCAGTCAGTATATAGTCACCCGTATTGTTTTCCAACTAAGTACAAACTTTAGGTTTCTTATAAATCCATAGGATGGGCCATATGTGCTCATATGTGCTCGGTCGGTAATGTGGCTACACTTTTAGCTTATAGTCCTTTACAGGCTTCGTATTATTTTGATTATTTTTTTTCAGGTTTTTGCATAAATACATCTATAATATCGTTGTACAACCACAGAGTATTATTATTATTTATTTTATTTGATTATTATAATAACAATTATTTTTAGGTTGGTTAGTATTGCTTATAAATAAAGTTATTTTATTTTTCAATCTAGTCATGACGAGTCGTCAAACATAACGACCACTGAAGAAGACATCTTGGATATTCTGGAATCGGATGACGACTGTGAATCAGATGAGGAGGGTAATAATATTGTTATTCCTAATCAAGGGCAGATTACTTGGTTACCTTGGTAAGTGATGGTTTATTTTTTGTTAAAATGCAATGATAGCTTTGTAATTTTAAATTTTAATGATTTAATATTATTTCAGTACACAAAATTACTGTTCATCTAATTTGTTTTCAATGTCTTCAAAAACAAATATCAAAAATTGAAAATCCCAAATTGAGTTTATAATCACATTCGGCTTTAATAGCCAATATATAGTATAGATAGTACCTATTAGGTACTATATCGAAATAATAGTATTAGTTAATGGATTTCGACAAATTATTTGAACAACACCTATCGCTTACCCACAAAATATGTTATCGTAGTTACGACGTCATAATATATCACTAACATTAATATAGTTATTAATCACTGCACAACTATTTATGTTTGTGCTTTTAAATTTATTATCATAATTTCTGTTCAGAATATTTGGATAGTAAAAGCAATACGTGTTATCTTTATAATATTTTAATCCTTGACAACTGTAAATACTGTAATCCTTGTAGTAGGTACATGGTTACAAACAATAATAGTTCGTTTTACAAATCATCCTTTCAGGTTTGGTGTTAACAAATCTTTACCTTTCTACATGATTAGTGAAACAAATATTATGGGTTCAACCAACATATATGTTTTTAAAATATATTATATTTCATATTTAGAGACAAAAAGTATAATTTAAGTTTTTTTTCATCTTTTGTATTAGTTATTATATTTCATATTGTTAAAAGAGTAATGTTTTGTTGTAGAATGTTGTAAGTATGTAAGGCGTAGCTAGAGTTTATTGAACCTAAAATGTTTAGACATATTTGTAAAATATTTTAATGTTTTTATATATGTTAAAAACTACAAATAACAGACGATGTTTAGTAAGAGTGTAATAATAATAATTAAAATGTATTAACTGCTATTCAAAAAATGTAATTATAATAAATAAAAGTTTATATAATTTAATTATTAAGTATATACACTTTGGTTAACTTAGGTTAGATTTAAATTCACA